TCTACTCTACTCTACTCTACTCTACTCTACTCTACTCTACTCTACTCTACTCTACTCTACTCTACTCTACTCTATTTTGCTCAGTTTAGGGCTGTTAGGCACAGAGAAACCTCTGGAGCAGACTAAAGGATGGATTCTTAGACAAGATGAAATAATAAAATAATTAATTATAATACATAATGATAAACGTGTGAGACTAGGTTTTTAACTAATCATTAGGAGAAACACTGCAAGTCTAGGAGAAAGAATGTAGTGTCTTCTTTGGTAAGTTATAGCTGTCTCAAAAAAAAATACTATAAGAGTTTACCTAAATGCCAGGTTTTTATAGTGCATTTGCCCAGAGTAGGCTATTTCAATGAGCTATGAAGGAGTGTTCTTAGCCAGAGACAAAAGTTGTAAATTTCTTATTGTCTTTTTAAAAATGGGCTATTCTATCCTTTTACATTCAAATTGATCAGCGCTGATCAGTTTGTAATCCAGTCAATTTCAACATGATACTTACATACTTATTGCATTTCTCTAATGGAAGTGTCCGAAGAGGCAACATTATAAGCCAAAGGGTCACATTTGGAAATGGAAGGTAAGAATAAGCAGATTCCCGAAAGCCATATTCTGTAATAAGTTTATATCCTTCCAGTGTGGCTGCTCTACTAGATTTTTTCCTCCTTCATACATCTGAACTGAGATGGGTTTGCCACATTGCAGCAGGGCTGTTTCTTCAATGTGTATATAGAAGACTTTTATGATGTAGAGACAGTTTGTTGAGAGGGGGAGGGGGAGAATGGTGTTTGGGCTTTTCATTGATTAAAAAAAGTAGGATGTGCTAAAAAAAAAGGCATAGTAGTAAAGGAGAACCAAAATGAATTATGAAAACAAATCATATCTGGATTTTTAACCCAGAAAAAGACACTTGGAAGCACTTTATACAATTATAGATGATGCTGAAAAACCAGTTATCCCCCCCACCCCCTTGCTATTCTCATCATGAATTCAAGACAAAGAAAAAGGTTATCGTGGCACATAGTTAAAATAAATTTAGGTTATAATGATGACTTCCAATATGAAGGGCAAGCCTGTCAGTGGCCATTAGCAAACAATGGGTCTTGCTGGCTCAAAGATCAGATGTAGCACATTGTGGATACTGGTTCTGGGGAAACAGCTGGATGAGGAAACTACGTTGCCTTTTAAGTCTAAGATCCTGGACTTTGTAATCCTTGCTGGTTCAGACCAAGGACTGCTCTTATATTCTTAATCTGGTGAAGCAGGAACACTGCTACATCTTCCAAGGTTTTTATTTAGAACATTCAGCAAAATACATTTGAGAAGTATGGCATATTAATGCTAATGCATTCAAATTACTTTTATGAATATTCTTCATTTAAAGGAATTTTCTGCTCTGAAGTGTCTTAAATACTGTAACACTTATGCAGACTTTATCCTACACTTTCATTGAATATTGACATCCTTACAGAAACAACTTACAAACTGTTTTTATGCTGATGCAGTTCCACTAAAAGATGCGCTAACAGCACTGATCTTTTTTGAAGAGTATGCCAGCAGCTATTACATAGTAAGCCTTTATTGACTGGTGCTGCCCGGACCTAGCTTTGAACCAGTAATTTTTGGGAAGTGAAAAGCTTTATCTCCTGTTACCAGTCCCTTGAGCCACTAATTTATAAGAGCAGGAATCTTCTATGACAGCTTTAAGGTAAATTTAATCAATAGGCAATTTTAGATTTCATTATTTTAGGAGGTAATAGTTAACTATTGAATGGATGCCATTTAGAACTGGTTACGATTTTCTTTAGTTTATTCATGAGATTTCCATATAACATCCCAACATTTAAGAAAGATAAAATAGGCCACGTCGAGTTTTATACATCATGAAGCAGTTAAATTATTAAATCGTATTAACCAGTTTTCCAGAATAGTTCCACTGACTTTACAACTTTTTCTTTTTTAGCTAGGTTTCTTCAAAAGAATACAAATTGAAGTGCTGTTTTCTGTATTCATTGGGTTGATTGATAAATTTGATCTTTGTGCAGGGCTGATCTGATCCTTCATCTCTTGAATTATTATGTTAATGGGAACTGACCTGTCTTCAGTTGCCTTTGAATACTACAACACAGTTTCTGGAAGTTTAACTGTATCAGAATACAGATATAATGTCATATATAACAATAGTTGTTTCAAGGGTTTTGTTTTAATCAAATATTTGAAATTAACAGCTGCTGCATTGGCAATCAGGAGTTCAAATTCTGTCTAAGCCCTGAAAGCTGGCTGGGTGACTCTGGGCAGTCACTCTCTCTCAGCCCAACCCATCTCAGAGACATAATTTTACATAGTGACTGCTTTGCTTAATGACCAAGCAAACTGGTGAGGCCCGCTGCCATTTTTTTTTAAAAAAACCAGACACAATAAATTCACTACTGCTAAACGTTGGCACTGCCAGGAAGGATATACTGTGGCCATTGCCGCAACATATATGCTGCCAGAAACCCTCAGGCCTCACCTACATCACCAAGTCCAGTGTTGCTGCTGCTGCCCTGCTAGTCGTCAAACAGCTAATTGATGCACCAAATATTGCTTTATGGACCATGTGAATTTTTAATTCAATAATGTGACCCTGCCCCCCACCCCCAATGAATTGAGCAGGTGTGTTTATTCTCAGGCCTCGATGACACTTTATTGCATTGTAAAGATGTAGCACGAAAGGCAGTTTATTTAGCCCAGCTTTTGGAATGACTGTACTTTGTTTTCATTTCTTTCTTTCTTCATCCAATAACTTTAATGAGTAAAAACTAAAGATACTTTTCTGCCCCCCTGCAGCTGATTTAGCCAATTTGATGGACAGAACCTATGAAAAAAAACTACCGGTCAGCTCTTTAACATTATTTCGGGTAAGAACATGACATCCAATTCAACAAAAATAACCCAGATAAAATAAATATCTTGGTATTTTAAACTACTGTAGTATTTTAGTTGAATTGCTACATGCATATAATTGCTTTCAACATATAAACTGTGAGCGTTATTTAAGACTTTGGGAGAAGTAGTTAGTTACTTTGACTTGTTGTGACTTATTGTCTCATATACTGCAGACATGGCTTTCCTTGGATAGATAGATATATCTGTCCAAACCAAAGCTATCCAGACATGTGGGGCCAAGACAATCTCAATCTTACACGGGAAAAGACACGAATACAACAAGACCAGCATACCTATACCCGTGAAAATCTACAAAAACATATATATATATACAAACACAAGAACGCAGTAAGAAAAAAAGAAAAAACTTCCTCCCTTTTCCAGCACCTTAAAGCTACAGGACATG